CTGTTTGGATACCAAGTCTCAGGTCCCAGTGAAGGAATTTTAGCTTATGAAGCCAAATAGAGATGCAAAGCCAGTGATGGGAAGGGTTGGCAGAGCCTTGGCAGATTCAACAGTGGTGTCAGTTATTCTTTAATCTTAACTGTGACATGGCATCTCAAAGAACCATTGGAGATGAAGGCTTCTCCATGGGGAACACACATATGACTGCTGCTGCTAATCATCTCAAGCAAATTCAGTGAATAGGAAAAAATTAAGTTTGAAAAGGTAAAATGATCTGCCACAGGTCAAGATGTCAAGATGAGAAGTAGAAAAGAAAGTCAAGCCTCCTGTTTCTTCGGCCTTGCTCTTCAACCCAATTCTTCACCCATTGTCAAAGCCAGGGTACACAGAAAATACACATAAAAAAATCTATATATCCTGAATTATCAGCTCAGAGTTAAATCAAGATTCCTTTACTGCACAAACTGAGTATTTCCCACAGGATGATTTGAGAGAGAGCATCTCTCTTCTCCCCATGTGCATCCCTACAGCATGCTGGAACTACAAAAGGAGACTGCTACATTATCCAATACATAAAACTGGTGGTTCCTTTGGTAGCTTTGAGCATTTATGGTAAAATACCAGTGAGAGTTTCTTCCCACCAGTCAGGGAAACTGCTGTGGGGAGTGACTCAGCTGGGACATAGTCCAGAAGGCAACAGGAGATGAGGGGCCCCAATGGCACTTTTCCAGTCTTAATCAGCGCTGTCTGCACGGTGATAGAGACGGATAAGCTGCCAGAAGTAATTTCTTTCTATAAGACTTGAAACAGTGGTGCTGAACAGTTGTGATCTTTGTGTGTGTGTATTTTGTTGGGTTTTTTAAAATGTGAAATCAAGGGCTGTAATTTCCCATGGCGGCCAACAAACAATTTTGATAGTTTCATTTTAATCTCCTATAAGTATCTATTTCTCCTCCCTCAACCTTACCCAATTTCCACTCCACTAAGTATTATTTTCTCCAAACAAATCAGACATGCCTGTCTACAACAGCACATTTATCAACAGGGAGGGCTGCAATAGAGAGAAACTATCCCTACTGCACAGAGCATAAGACATTTGGGAATCCTTTCTAATAAAAAGGGATTTGATTAAAGACAGCCAACTACCACAGATCAGCACCTTAATCATCAGTAAAGAAGGAAGAGCAGCTTAGACTTAAAAGACTTTAATTTGCCAATCTGCCAAGGACTTCCCAGGAGCAGTCACTCCACAAGTTACTCCAGAGCCTACAAGGGGGTAGGAGGGGTCATACACCAAGGATTGGGGTGCTTAGACTTACTACAGTAGTGTGGTCCTAACAAAGTTAAGTTAGGCAGAATACCCAACATGCATGTTTAACTTCTAAAAATTCAGAGGAATTTTTTAAAAACTATTATGCCTAGTGATATTTCCATGCTTAAGCACTGCCTTGCCAATGGAGCTAGAGGATTTCCCAGCGACTGGATTGTGCTGCTGTGGTAATCCTGGCAAGACAAATCTTCCAGCTGCGATCTTGCTGCTCCCAAGTGTCTCCAGCATGCTGCTGCTGGCTCCCACCACACTCCCAGGCTCCCCAGGAAGGCAGTGTGATCCATGCTCTGCGGCCAACTGTGTGTGCTTGTGTGAGCAACCCCTGCCTAGAACAATTCCCCCAACTCCGAAACCACCTTCAGTGGTTTCACCTGGGAAGCTGCAGAGAGGTGCAGTGAGCACAGACTGGATGGAAGTGTTGGCTGTCCTGTTCCTCAGCTCACTGGGTATGCCAGCAGTACCAGACAGCATTTCCAGGGCAAACAGACAACTTTAGTGATTCCTACTCCTCTTCCTTCCCAAGGAACCTTCACCCTGCCCACTGCTGGGCAGATTCTGCTGACTACAGAACCAAGATGGCTTGATTGAAAACCAGAGATATGGCAAGTGAACTTGCAGAAGGAAGTTGGTTACAGAGAAGATCCCAGAGTGCTGGCGGACCAAGTAAAATGACCTTTCTCCAGCCTGACAGTTCAAATGTAATTATTATAACAAATTATTTTCATGACTTAATATAACGCCTTGCAGCTTTCTAGCAAGGTTAATTAGATTCCTCAATTCAAAACCTATGTGCTCTTAACCAACTTTTAATATGCTGAAATCCAGTTTTCTAAATTCAAACTAATAAAAGTGATTAGCTGACAGCTATCTGGTATGCTACAATTACCATGGCATTTAGACCTCAGGCATAAGATATTTAATGCAAATCAGAGTCAGTGTCTCTGCCCATTTGTCCTTTTTCGGATTATTTGATCAATGTGCCATATGAATCCCGTACAGTTCACACTACCATGCTAAACAACTAAAGAACAAGGGCGGAGATATTGGTTGAGACAGTTAACCAAAGTTGAAAGACTCTTTTTTTCCCTCCCACACTTAATTTGTTCTTTCCACATGAGCATGAAGTTACTGAAAGGCACTAGCTGACAGCTCAAGTAGAGATGGGTATTTAGTTCTGACATAGCCAGAATTAGTACAAAACTCCAGGCCTGCACTGCCATATCAGAAAGATTCATCCACTGTGACTCCAGAGACTCAGGGAGGAGCCTGGGCTGGAGCAAATCTAGGAAGATGAGGGCAGCCTACCTCTTTCACTGTACCTAAGCATAAAAAGCAGTTGTACTCCAGCATTCTGTATTTTGTTAGAAATGTTTCCAGAAGGCTGTACGGGGCACAGCATGCTTAGGGAGCTGAGGAGATGTTCAGCCCAATTCATGGTTCTTTGGCACATCAGGAATGCTAAGCCTCAGAGATGAACTTCAGTGGCACTCAGTGCAATTAGAAAATCAATCAGGTGCAGTTGGTAATTACACATGACCTGCCCAGGGTAGGACTAAGGTTGTTGCTTGATTTTTCCACCGTGCCTCATGCGTGATTATTCCATCTTTGATTATGCTACTGTTTATATAAGTAACACTGGCAACACTTCTGAATGCTCTGAAGCCTCCTTTCCATTTTGTCATCTCCTGCTGAATTAAGAGCTATTGGCATGGCATTGGTCTGACCTCCCATCTGATAGTCAAATTGATGACCTAAAACTGAGAGACTTTATGTTCCCACCCTTTCAGCTATGCATCCCTTCTGGATGAAGAAACTTTGATGTACCACCCTCTCAAACAGAGCAGAGCAATCTTAGTCATACAATATTAGTCTGCAAAATCCGAGCTTTGCGGCTTCATAAATACAAGTGGTAAACAAAACTAAAGCTTCACTTCAGGAAGCAATTTCCGAGCTGTGAGGAAAATTAATCACTAGAACAGCTTATCAGGGTAGGTGGTTGACTCACCATTGCTCGAAGTTTTTAAGATAAGATTAGATCTTTTTTATTTTTTTAAAGTCATGATTCAATCATGTTTCTGGGAGAAACTGAGAGTAGGACATTTTGCAGTATAATGGCAAGGTCCTTTCTGACCTTGGAGCCTGTGAATCCTGTTTGTTTATCTGCCTACCTTCTTGGGCTAAAAGGAAAACAGGAAAAATAAATGCGCTTTGGGCCATCAGCAAAGTCCTGCCACACAGTTCTGCATTAAGAAAATTGCTGTAATCAGATCTCGTGCTTTGGGGCTTCAGCCATTTGCCTGAAGAGGGCAGGAAAAAAGTTTCTACCTCTTGCTTGCCCAGCTAATGGCCAAATACATGCTATGTTTATTTGGTTGTAGCTTCATGTTTAAAACATCAGAGTGTGAACCCAAATGGCTATGGGCAGAGATGAAGTCAAAGGCAGCAACACAGAAAATGCTCCCTGGCTATTTTCTATTCAGTTAGCCATTCCTGCTCATACCTCAGATCTCTGATAGTCATCAACTCTGATGACTATCAGTGTTTACAGAGAAGACATTTTGGTTATTAGGACACAGCCCACAGAAGGTAGAAGGTACTGATAGAGAATTGGGACTGATACTAATGCCACCTACAAGGGCAATGTTTGTTTGATGAGTACACCTTAATCTTCTCATATTATCAGATCCTTGTCACTGCAAGATCCTTGTTTGTTAGTGAAACTGTGGTCCCCACCTGCTTTTTGATTAAACCAGACCATGAAAGTTTCTTTAAGCCAGAAATGTTTCGGTCCAACCAAACTCTATAGCAAATAGATCTGGGCGCAATCTAAATGATTTTTTAAGAAATTATGAAATAAAGGAAGATAAGGAAAATAAAATGAATGGCCTGCCCCAGTCTTTAACTCTACAAACTACAGCAGTTTGTTTCATAATAACATTATTACCCAAGCCTGTAAGAAACCAAGCACACAGGCATATCCATCAATAGTGCCCGAGACTCTTGATTTCACTGCAGAGTTCAGAGGCCTTATCACCTATGTTTCATGTAAAGGCAAGATATAATTCTACACCTATAGATGCCTAAGATAATTATACCCTATACTCTTAAGAAGGAAATTAGATGCTTATTTTTTTCCAGGTAAGGAAGATGACACCGTTATGAACCAATCAGTCCAGATTTGTCATACTTGTATTTGTTGGATCGTGGGTCCCCATGTATAACCAACCTGATTGACTTAAAATGGATTTCCTTTTAATCTGTGCCAGCACACAGAAAATGAAAATCCATGCCTTGGAAGCAGAACACATTTACACTGCCAGATTTTTTTGCAGCTGCATTGAGAAGGGATGGGGCAGGCAGGCACAACAGCAACCGCACCTGAATTCAGACTGGTAGCCTGGAAGCTGGGGACAGATGGTGTGAAAATGAACCAGACACTGAAAAATTCAACTTTATATCCAGTAAGACTATAAACATACAGTGAGTGAGCATGAGATTTATGCTGAAATTACAGAGGAATTCCTATGGATGATTACACTTCCAGCCCAAGCATGGAAAGCACATCCATCAACAGTAGTTGTCACTACGTTACCAGTGCAGCAGTCAGGCCTCCCATTACTGAACAACATAAATACAGAAGAGGGCCACAGACACTTGTGAGATGGCTCACCAAAGTACTCATCAGAGGGAAGATTCTCCATGTCATACAGCATTTTCTTGGTCAGATGTTCCAGCTCATCCTCAGGCCTGAAGGCAGGTGTGCTTGATGCAGGTCCAGAGCTTGGATACCCACTCTGAAAAAAAAAAAGAACATCCTGTGATGTGGTATAAAAGCATTCACACACAGTAAGGGGGTATATTGGCTGTTCAGTGTTGAACTTCATTCTTTGTCTTATTTTTTTTTTTTTTTTAAGACCCAAGGGATTCAAGCAAGTAAACACCTAACTTCATGTGATGAAAACAGACTCTGGAGAACAGCCAGTGAAGTACTATATATCCTCCTAGAATGGGAAGTATCCTGTGCCCCATAATTAGATGTCTATTGGGTAGCACATAATAATAAATAAAGCAGAAGATTATTCCAAGAATAACTTGATACAATCATTCTCCAAAACTGAAAAAGGCTTTGGAAGCATTTAAGTTTGGACTTGGTGAAAGTTTCCATCACTTAACAACACAACATAAAAGACAATTGTACAGTGGTAGAGCATATGGACAAAGACAGATAACCCCAAACTGCTAGTTATGGTCTCTTCTTCTTTGTTTCGACACAAATCCTGCTGTTAACATTAGTGAGATCAAGAGCTGGTCTAAATAGTTTTGCTATTAGAGATACAAAGGTTTTAATACATGTGTAGAAACTCAGATGTCTTGGCCTTCATAAGCTAACAGCTGCATACAGTATTTGCAGCCTGTCTCAGAGAGTCTCCTCCCTGGAAAACACCCAAAGTATGGCATATTTTGAGAAATACAGAAATAGTCTTATGCCTAGAAGTTTCTTAGAAAGTTTCTAAGTTTGGTGTCCATAAGGAGAAACTCGGTCATTTCAGGATTAAAAGATGCTGACACCAGCTCTCCTTGTGTGCACTGCTTTCTTCAAAGACTTGCATATGAAAACTAACTTATTTATAAAACACATCATTTTAGTAAAGCAAATTATTTCATTGATTAATTGCTGCCTACATCAAGGATTGGACCTTTGATATGAAACAAGGAAACATTTTTTCCATGCTCCATAACTACTTAAATGGCAAGAAAATGTTATCACCGGAGAAACAATATACTGACCACTTCTAGGGACGACATCTGTCATGATGAATCTTTATGGAGCCAGTGATGTTCAACAGAGAACAGCAGCTTTAAAGCACCGTACTTCAAGAGAATTAACTAGATGCTTCCATGCTTTTTTCTTTCAGGAAAGAAGGAGATTTCAAATGAGACATCAATCAATGTAGAGAAGGCCTTAGAACAGCACTTTGCAATAAAACTTCAACCATCCAGTCCCAAAACCAAACACCTGCATCATGTTCCTGTCTCCATCACACTTACTTTTCTAGGGTCCATGCTAAGCTGTACCATCAGCCTTCTCACTTGGCCTCAGCAGGTGCCTGTACTCCCTGGAAGGGCTGGATTTGCTGTGCACACACAGTACAGCCGCTGCCCCCACTGCCTGCCTAAAATCCACACTGCAGCATAGTAGCAGCAGTTCAGAAGGGAGAGGGGTGGCATGGTCCCCTAGGGAAAAAAGTGTACCTGGAATAAGCCCCAGGCTGGATGAATTTCCCTGAAGGGCTGTGCAAAGTCTGTTTGCCACACATTTAGCCTCCTTGACTGAGAACATGGATTGGACCTAACTTACATTCAGATTTTCCCACGGATGTTTTCTTTTTTCTTTGCTTATGAATTTTTTTTCTGAACAATATTTAATGATTTTGTGCACTTCTCCAGGAATTCTAGTTGTCTAGCAGTTGTCCTGAGGAAGCTGTTGAGTATCTGGAAATGCTGAATGTCCACATACAGAGCAGTAAACTTTTTTGTACAAATGCAGCCATGCTGATGTGTTTGGGTTACCACAATTTACTTTTTCACATGGGGAGGCAGACAGTATGGTGCACCTGCATTTGCCTTCTAAATCATATAAGTGTCATCTCTGTGGGATACATAATTTTGGTATGGATAAGGCCATTTGTATGCCTAGACGTCCTAGAAGGAGGTATTTGACACAGAACACCCCGACTCCCTTGGCCAGAGCTTTGTGGCTATTTTTAGAAGGACTAGTCTACATCCACTTCTTTAGAAATAATATATAGCACAATCCTAAAAAATAAAAAATCCAAATATTCCACATAAGTCAATGTAAGACACTTAATCTTGGAACAACCTGTTTTTTCCCTTTGCTCTCTTGTTCCTAAGAGATGATCATAAATCTTGCCTGAACATATATTTTAACACAATAAGTGTAGCCAAGGATTTATTAACTTGAGAAATCATTCTGATAACTGAGCTTCTATTCCAGTTATTGTACCTATTTCAGTTTCCATGCAGAAAAGAATGACCACTGCCATTCCATCAACAGAGACTCCTTTCCTAGACTTTGCAGGGAGAAGACAGCACGGTCTGAAGCTGATGATGGTTCCCATCCCTGTTATTTCCCGTTAGTCATCACCAGCCTCTTCTGCTGGGCTCTGTCCACACACTCTCTGAAACACTGCCTTTACCCTTGGGCCCTGTAATAGAAATGGACCAAAACAGAAGGCACAAGCCACAGTCTGTTCACAGAAAAGAGCAGTGAGATACATGGAGCTGAAGCAATTTGCCCAGAATCACACGTGGGCTCTAAGGCAAAGATAAATCCTGCATCCAGGCTGCTGGGAGCCCTACACCTTCCAGCCTCACACACAGCCCACTGGGGCTGTACCTGGCATTGCAGACCTACACTGAACACTCTGCAACCCAAAGCCACTGCACCTGCAGGCCACCACAGCCAGGCTTTGACAGGAGGTGAGTGAAGCCTCTCCCTCTTTTCCATGCTGGCTTCACACACCTCCTTGACTGGGGAGCCCTCCATAACTAATTCATAAGGACTTGGACTAGGTCCTTTAAAACTGAAGACCAAAATCTGCAGATTTTTAGTTTTGTCTGTCTCTCTCTGGTTTTGGAGGCCACACTGCCTCACACAAACAATAAATAGGCTGCTCTTGTATTTTATCTACATTGCACTTTTTCAAACCAGGCAGATTTCCTATCCAGTACCCATTGTCAGCAGAAATAACAAATACAAACCACAATGTTATGAGACACTTTAACTTATTTTGACTAAAATGCTATGCCTTTTTGACCAGCATTTAGTGTATGTGTGTGTAGCACTACTATCAGTAGTGCTAGGCACATGTTCCTCCTCCTCCCACGGCACATGCTGACTGTGTGCCTCCAGGAAAATGCATTTCATGCATATGAACATGCTGTTTGCTGGGACATGAATACATACAAACACAAAGAGGCAAGTGTATCCTTAGTCCAATATAAAATGCTTGTTTCAGCAAAACAGTTTCCTTCCTCCTCCTTTGTTAGGTCAGGGTAAAAATATAACTCTGGCTTTCCTTACAAAACAGAGTTGTGGTGTTGTTGTTTATACTGAACTTCCTCTATTTTCTCCTGATCTGTACAATAATCAAGGCTGTCTAGAAATCCAATTTGCTGTCTGATCTACCAGTTAACTTCACACATTCTCTTTTCTCCATGATGCCTCAATGCACACAAATATCCACTCCCTTAGCTAGACACAGCTCAAAGAAAGGGACTGCATTGACTTGCAGACCCCGAGCACCACTCTGTCTTGCTAACCACAGAAGCATCAGGGATGATAAACTGAGCCACGAAAATGGAAAAGAGCTCAGCAAAAAGCTGGCAGGAGTGACTATGCTTTGGAAGCACAGGCACCTGAGTGCCTCCTTTGCTACTGTCATCAAACAGCGAGCCACTTGAGGAAAGAGAAGATTGCAGGAGCAAGCTGAGGAAGAGGAGAGGATTGCAGTAGCATGTGTAGATGCAGAAGCATTCCTAAATAAACACTGTCCTGCATACTTAGTTGGGATGTTAAGGAAAACACCAGCACTTCCAGGGTTAAGCCCTGTAGCAGAAAGTATCTTCATGTTACAAAGGAAATGAACTAATTGCTTGTGTCACTATCAAAATGCTGCAACATCTGGCTCATCTTCCTTATTAAAGTTCAGTTCCTGAAAAGCCAGGTCAAAAGAAGCAGTCGTGTGGAATCACTGCATAATTATCTTGGTACACAAAGCTGATAGTTGTTTCAGTGTTTCCCTGGCACATGTTTTCTACTCCAGACCTGCCTCAGATGTAAGCGCTGCCCAGAAAAGGGATCTCTGCAGTCAGTGTGGTTCATTGACCAACAAGAACTTTTCCCATCCCCACAAAAGACTTTATCCATATGGGTAAAAACTGCAGCGCAAACTCTGCAAAGATATCTGAGGATGATACTGTGATTAAGGCACAACCATTCAGAATACACTGTATGTGGTCATTTTTCTTGTCCATTTGCAAACATTGTAGAAGAAGCTGCTTCTCTCTGGAAGAAAATAACTTCAATTATGTGTTTTCAGTTACAGAAACGTGGAAATGATCTTCTTTTCAGAAGGTAGAATTAGCTGAATATGGAATTGAAAGGCAGCCAGAAACATCTTTCACTGATAGTTACGTTCTCTTCATTTTTTTCCTCCTACTTCAACTGCATAAAGTTAGTCCTTTCACTTCACTCACCAAAACTAATTGCCAGTTAAAAAGTAAGGCAGCACAATTTTTCTTGTTCAATGGTTTGACAAAGACCACATTTTTAAAAGAAGTTATTGACTGTCCAAAACAATCACAAACTTTCAGAGCAAGAAATCCAGCATAGTGCCATATCTCTCATGAGTTGTGCTCCCAAGGAAGTATCAAGATTGCCTGCAGCTGTAATTCAGTTTATAATTAAGGCCAACTCTTACAGAGGAGATGCATTAGAAAAAAATATTTTTATTCTTGATTTATTTTCCCAGTGAAAGGTTACAGCTGCCAGAGTACATAAAGATTCCTGAAAAGAGGATTCTGCCTGGAATCTTTGCAAGCATGCACGTTCCTGGGTTTACTCCTGGTCAGAGGAGAGCTCATCCAGATCCTCTGAAGAAGCTGCCCTGCATGAGGAGATACCCACTGAGAGCCAGTGCCCTCCAGCCCACTCCAGAAGACCAAAATTTCAAGTGTTGGGCTACCAGGAGAGAAGACTCTTCTGGGACAT